CCCCAAAACCCCAAAACCCCAAAACCCCAAAACCCCTAAGAACAAAAATAAATGGATATATAAAATTTATAAACATGTTCAGACTTAAGAACTACAAATTCTTCAGTTCTTTCAAGAGAAGGACTCTCTTCAGAGGAGCCATTCTGGCTTCTATTTATGGAGTCCATCAGCTTACTAAGAAGAGAGGGTTTGATTCTCTCGAGGATGAAATGAAGCTGATTTTCCCTTCCATTTCTCAAGATAACAAAAGAGTTGAGATTAACAACTATTATCAGCTAGAATCCTTGGTCAATAGTGCTTATAGGAACGATGTGCTTATGAAGATCAGCAAGATTCAGGACACAACCAGGGAAAACCTTGGCATTTCGAACACTGTTGAAGAAGAGAAGCCGAAGAGAAGGAGGAGATTCAAGAAGTATGACCCTGATGCAGTTGAGATTGATATTACTGGGTTATCAGCTATAAAGAAAATACACCCTGAAGATCGTATCTGTGTTGTAGAAGGAGGTATACAGGTTAGCGATCTTAATGAGGCTCTTAAAGAGCATGGACTGATGTTCCCTACGCCTCTTTTTCCTCATAAGACCATTATGGAAGTGATAAATGAGAATATCCTTCTTTCGGATTCGTATAAAAGCGGGGCTGTTAAAAATCATATAGAAGATATCAACTTGATGACTCCTTCTTCAAAGCTAGTGAAGACTGGAAATCTAACAGGAGACGATTTCTGTTATGGATATCATATCAAAGATATCATAGTTGGTAGTCATTATTCGCTTGGATTTATCACTGAGTGTACCCTAAAATTAAGAGAAATCAGGCCGTATGGTCTCTTGGTGACAGTTCAGCTAGATTCAGACAGCGAAAAGGATTATCTTAATCTTTTAAGAAACATAAGGCATTACGATGGATATGAAAACATCATTGACTCTATCAGGCTGTATAATGGCTCTACATTTGTAAACCCAGCTGGAAAGGATATTGATGGTAATAAAAAGCTTATAGCTTTTTATTCCTACACCAATTCTGAGGAAAAGCAAGCAAAAGTATTACAGGATTTAGAGAAACTCATTTCAAAAGAGATAAGTGGGAGCTACACTCACAACGTCATTAAATTTGATTATGATGACTATAAGTACACTAACCTGACCAAGCCTGAAGAGTGGAGAAGCTATCATCTTGACTGTTATCTTCCTATTACGAAAGTGCCAGAGATTCTTGACCTTGACATGCCAGCAATTCGAACTAAATTTGAAAAAGGAAAGCCACAGGAAGTCATCAGGGAATCTCATAAAGCTTTTGAAAATACAAAATATGAGCTTCATTTGATTAATAATGCAGCTCTTCTGCGTATTTTCTTAGATTGTGATTTTCATGCTGATGGAAAGAGCACAGAAGGAAAAGTAGTTGCCCCTAAACATTTCTCATCATCCTGGATCGATCGTGTCACTTCAAGTGTGCTCTTCAAAAAGGGAGTAATTTATGCAAAGAAAGAAGTTCTAGACGATGCTGATCCAAATCTCGTCACGAGAATTATCGGCACAGAAAGCGAGCAAATCCAAAAGGAAATCAAACGTATCTTCGACGACAAGGACCTTCTCGAAAGAAAAAGCCTATTCGACGCTTCCCACCCATCCCTCACCCAAAGAATCAAAGACATCCATCCAATCTACAACTACATATTATCTAAATTCCTATAACCCTCAACATATCCCCTCCACTTTGGGGTTTTGGGGTTTTGGGGTTTTGGGGTTTTGGGG